TTAAAAAAAAAAAAAAAAAAAGCCCAAATAAGAGGTTTGGCTGCTCTCTGAGCGCTTAGCCTCTCCTCCCGAATCATTGCTCCTCTCAGCCCTGCGGCCCAAAAGCTCATGGAAGAGTGCTCGACCCCATCCTGTGTTAATATCTGCTTTCTCGAAGGGACTGATGTGTTGTCACTATACGGTGGCACCTCGGTTTTCGAATGTAATCTGTTCCCAAAGACTGTTTGAGTTCTGAAACGTTGGAAAACCGAGGGATCCACAGCTAGGACTCAGGATCTGGGGCTCAGTGGAAGCTGTGTGGCCTGTTCGACTTTAGAGTAGTGTTCGAAAACCGAAGCATTTACCTCCGGGTTTATGGCATTTGTAACCCAAAATATTTGTCCATGGAGATGCTTGAAAAACAAGGCACCGCTGTATTAAAACATATAAAATGTATATGGTCTGATTATTGACAAGTCCTCTTTCTGAGGTATGATGCTCTAATTAAAAACTTTAGGCCTAAACTGTATGTGGGCTACCATTTTACAAGGGGGGATGGGCAATATTTATTTGTGCTGGGCCCCTCATAACTGAGAGCAGGTAACAGTGACTGAGTTATCTAAGTAAAGTAATGAATGATAAAAGTTTAAAAAGTATTTCTCAATTAAATTTCACCATGACAATTATTCAGCGCCTGGTCTAATTTAACAAAAGGCTTTGAGAAAGAATACAGGAAATGCACACTGGGAGCGTTAAATTATGATACAGCCAGTAAGTGATGATTCGACCACGAAGTTACATTATGCAATAAGGGGTGGCTTCTGCCAGAGGGAGCAGGAAATCCTCTTGGCGGGCCCCAAAGAAGCCGGGGTTCTCCAGTTAAGAACTGCAAGAACTTAATCTGAGCCCCAAAGGGAGCGGGTCTGGCCTCTGAGAGTGCCTTGTCACCAAGTCCCCTCCCAACACCATTAGGGTGCCACATCATGCTGTGGACACAATGCCATGGGAAATCAGGCCTAAGGCTTCTCATACTTGTTAGGCTCTCTGTTTTTTGTTTGTTGGGTATTTTTGGTCGTTGTTTGCTTTAGGGACTTGAGTAATAAGCATGGAATAGGAGGACTCTTTGCATGTTGTGTGGTCAGGGGGAATTCAGGTTCCTCAGTTTGAGACCTAGAGAAGTCAAGGGCCAGGAGCTTTTCCAGAGTGAGTCAGGGGACAGGAGGAGTTCCACGTCTTCGCCAAGGCCCAGGAGGGCTCTGCTGTGGGCTGTGGGCTGGCCAGGTGGACAAGGGGCGGCCGCGGGCTGGACTTGCACCGGTTCGGGTTCAGCTGCCTGTCCTGGGGAACGTGGTCAGCTCTCCAAGGCGCAGTTGGGCAGCTTCTTGCTTAGGCATCCGGGGAGGGAAGGTGCGGGCATCAGCTCTCCACGTGCCGCCTTCCCCAGAACTCCCTCTGCCGCCCTCCGCTCCCCTCCCCAGCATCCGCTCCCCGCTCTCCACCGCGCGGAGCCACCAGGAGCGCGCCCCTCTCTCTCGCTGGCTCCGGGGCTCGGGGGCGGTGGAGCCCTGAGCGGCGTCCGCCCCGCGCCTGCTGGGCTCCCTGCGCCCAGGGCGCG